TTAGAGTAGAAGGGAGGGAGGGAGGGAGAAGACAGACAGACAGACAGACAGACAGACATTGATGTGAGGGAGACATTGATGTGAGAGAGACACATTGATTGGTTGTGCCCCGTGCGCATCCTGACGGGGGGCCAGGGATAAAACCTGAAACCTAGGTATGTGCCGTTGACCAAAAATTGAAGCCGAGACCCTTTGATGCACAGGCCAATGCTCTGCCACTGAACTATACTGGCCAGGCATGTGGTTTTCTTTTTGAGAAGATTTGCAACAACTGATTGAATTTCTTTAATGAATTCATTATTCTAATTTTTTCTATTCTGTTGGTAAATTATACTTTTTAATGAATTTATTCATTTCTTCTGGTTTTCAAAATAATTGCCATGAAGTTGTTTGTGATACCATTTTACTCTTAATCTGTGTATCATCTGCAGTTTCCAATCATTTTGCATTTCTAATCATTTTGGTGCCAGAATGTTAACAGAAATTTGTCAGTAAATTATTTCAAATAACTAAATTTTGGCTTTTCATGCAGAATTTCTGTTGTGTTTTTTTCTGTTTCCTTTATTTTTGCTGGTTATTTTTTTATTTCTACTTTCTTTAGGTTTATTCTTTGTCTAAAAATGTTTATGTTGGTCATTAATTTTCAGCTTTTCATTAATTTCCTTATAAGTTACCACTCAGTAAATTTGCATCTTACAAGTTTAATTAAGGAGTTTTGTGGTTATTATTAGGTTTTAAATATATTTTTAAGATGTGTTTTTTTAAATATCCAAACATGATATTTTTCTAGTTATCTTTTTTACTGTTTATTTAGCACTTCATTGCAGTATAAATCATGGTATGTGATACCATCTTTTGAAATTTGTTAAGCCCAATATCTGGTCAGTTTTCAAGTGTGTCTGCAAAGTGTAAGTATTCTCCAGCCACTAGATAGATGTACATTCAATGTATACCCATTAACCCAACATATTTACTCAACACGGTATTAATATCATGTCTTTAGCGCTGAATAAAATCTCTCTTAACATAAAAGCTATTACGATAATGGCAAACTATTTGTCTTTCTTTATATAGAGTGGTGAGGCTGAACGGCAGTATAAAGGAACTTTAGACTGCTTTTCGAAGATATACCAACAAGAGGGAGTCCGTGCATTCTTTCGTGGTGCCTTCTCCAATGTCCTTCGTGGTACAGGGGGTGCTTTAGTGTTGGTATTGTATGATAAAATTAGAGATTTCCTTTATATTGGTAGTGGAAGTAGTTCATCAGGAGATTAAATTGAGAAATGCATATATTTAGCTCGTTACACATACAAATTACATAGCTGCCGTCTGTATACATTTTGATAGTTTGTTATTACTGTCAGTATTTTTAAAGTGGTAATTCTGCAATAAAGCATAAGCTTTTTCAAGCATTTAAATACTAAAAGTCAGATAAACGTGGGTTTCCTTCCCACTTGGACTCAAACTCACTTTAATGAGACATTTTACTTATAATTAGTATATGTTATTTTGTTAGTTTAAAATCTCTTACTTTTGTGATGAAAAATTAAAATGTATAATGTTAAAATATAAGAAATGAAAGTTCTTTAAAAATGCTATTCTTTTCATGTAATTGTCTTCCCATCTTTTAAAATCATATGATATGACACATATTTCTTAAAAGCTTATCAGAAGATGCCATCATTATATCTCTGGGCAAAGTAAGCTTTCACCAACAGCATCTCTACTAAGACATCATACTATACTTTACATCATACTATACTCAGTTTATTACTAAGTATAGTATTCATGGTATCGTATAGCTTTTATTAAACACAGATCCTAGATCTCATAAAAAAACTGATAATGACGTTAATGACACCATAAACCTGTAGTCGGAAAATAAAAGATATAAAATGGCATATCTGCTAACTTTTATCTTTAAAATCTTGCTAATGTGAATATATCTTGGAATGAAAAAAGTCCCTCGAAAATTAGTTTGTGTATTTTGTATTGATAAATAAAGGAAGTTTAAAAGTTATATCTAAGGTGTTTTTTTTCTTGATTCTAACTTTATTAATAAGCAGAGAGGAACAAATTTTTGTCAGAATTGGGAACTGACTTAAAGACAGAAAACAGGGTTTCCGAGGTTTTAACAGATATCTGTCTTGTTTTTTCAGATATATTGTAGAAGATAGTACATTTTAAATCCCCAAGATTTTAAAGTTTTTGTGAGTAAAGAAATGTTAAACTAGTGGGGATAAACTGTAGAAAGATTTTGTGAGGTTGTGAGTGGGTAAACTTCCTGGTACACAGGGGCAAAGTATGTTTCAAAGAAAATAATGCAAACTGTACTTTTTAATATACAGGGTGGGACATATAAGTATGTTTACAGTTGTTCATATGGAAAATAATGCAATGATAATATGAGAAACTCCTATACTCACAACTGTAAACCTACTTTTGCCACCCCCACCCTCTGTTGGTGTTATCACTTGAAAAAACTTACTCTTTTGAAAACTTAACATGATTTTTTGCAGTGGTCAACATAACAGAGATTTATTATTTTTAAATCCTCACCCAAGGACATGTTTTCATTGATTTTAGAGAGAGAGGAAGAGAGAGAGGTAGAGAAACATCGATGTGAAAGAAGCATTGATCATTTGCCTCCCATCCGTGCCCCAACCAGGAATTTAAGTGCATAAAACAAACATAGGATTATAAAGGAAACTATTTGAAATATGGTTATTAAAATATTAAGAAATACAAATTTGTGATAGTAGTACATAAAATACATATTACTATGAGATAGTAATATGTGCTTATTTTTAAGATTTACAAGATCCAGTGTTCTAATACTATAATTTCATGGTATTAATGAGCATAAATGTGGTTTGATATAATATATCCAACAATTAATGATGTAGTATGAAAATATTTCTATTGGGAAAAATCACATATTGTTAATACTACTGTGATTTGTGACTACATTCGTTATTGAAAGAAATGTTAAATTTTTGTTAAAGGCTAGTGCAAAACAGTCCCCCCTTAAATCTATCTTTGTATTCCATGGGGTTCTGGGGACCCCAGGGAAAGAACCCTATCCTTGAGCATTGTAATCATCTGCATTGTCAAAGCTGCGTCTATGGCTAATCTGTATTCCCACTTGCAAGAAAAGGGAAAGAAATTAGGGCAGATGAAAGGGATTTTAACCAGGTGGGATGGAAGTTACACATGTCACATATATACATTGGTGAAACTTTAGTAACATGGCCATACTGGAAGGTTGGAAATATAGTGTGTAATTGAACAGCCAAGTGTACAAGACAAAAATAATATATTTTGAAAGACAACTAAGAGTCTGCCATAGTCTCCTAAGTGACCCTTGTGTATCCAATCTCACCTTGCTCTAATTCATTCTGTTGTAACACTGCTACCGAAATATATATATATATTTAATATATCTTTATTGATTTCAGAGAGGAAGGGAGAAGGAGAGAGAGAGATAGAAACATCAATGATGAGAGAGTTGTCATTGATTGGCTGCCTCCTGCATGTCCTGGACTGGAAATCATGCCCGAAACCTGGGCATGTGCCTTGACTGGAATCGAATGGCGATCTCCTGGATCCTAGGTTGATGCTCAATCGCTGAGCCATGCCTGGCTGGGCCCAAAATATTTTTTAAATTCCATTCTTATTGTGTCAGTTTCCATCTATTTCAGTGTCTCTATATAATAGCAGTACATCCTGACTTGTAGGTGATCTGGTTTGAGGGATATTGAGGGGAAAGCTTTGTAAGTAATCTGTGAGTTAATATGCCCACTAAAATTGCCCTGGCTGGTGTGGCTCAGTTGGTTGGAGTGTTGTACCATACACCAGAAGGTGATGCATTCGATTCCCAGTCAGGGCATATACCCAGGTTGTGGGTTCAGTCACAGTCTAAGCACATGAGAGAGGCATCCCTGATCGATGTTTCTCATGTCAAAGTTTCTCTCTCTCCCTTCCTCTCTCTCGTGAGTCAATAAAAGCATGTCCTTGGGTGAGGATTTGAAAACATTATATATATGTATATATGTATGCCCACTAAAACAGAAAATTGGATTTTAAAATGAGATTTTATATATGTAGCATTTTTATTCATATACGTATAAGCTTTGGGATTAACAAAATACAGGTAAATGTTGAAGTGTTCTTAAACCTATAGTAGTATGTGGACATTATTATTTTAATAAATGGGAAGCATAATTTTTTGTACTTGAAAAAAAGGGTTCCTTATTCTTGAAAAGGTAAACTTCTTATCATGGCATACAGTATCCTTCATGATCTAGCTCGACTTCAGCTGTACATCCTATCTGTCCTGGGCACCCAAGCCATACCAGTAACTTCGGATTCCTCAAATACGGTATGCTCTTTGATGCTTCTGTGCTATTGCACCTGCTTTTTTATGTCATTTATTTTCTTTGTAGTATTAAGTAATGTGCCTAAGGTCCTACTGCAAGTAAGTTAGATGAGCCTGGGACTACAGACCAAGTCTGTGACCCCAGAGCCTGTCATGCTTGTAGCCACTAGGTACATTCATTTCCTCCCAGTAATTGTAAAGAATGTGATAATCTCTTACTCCTGACCGCAACTGTTTATTTTTACTCTGGTATTTTAACTCTTTTTTTTTTTTTTTAATGGAAGGATCATTCTCACACCCTCAAGTTTTGCAGACAGAAAGCATGGGTAGATAAATGGCCCCAGGAGAGTTTCAGGATATTCTGGAATAAACCTAGGTGGCGGGCCCAAGAGGATGATGGCTACAGAGGCAACTGAAGAGGGGGCGTCGAAGCCACGCGCCTCTGGGTGGGGCTGAGGGCGGGGTTCTGGGGGGGGCAGGTAGCCAATCCCGATTGTGCTCAGCGCTGGCGGAAGCCCCTCTGCCTACCCTGCGGCGTCCCTGACAACCGCGTCGAACTGGAGCCCCTGCTGCTCCGCGCACTTAGGCCGCGGAGGAGAGGTGCGACTCCTTAATGGAGAAGGGCCGGGGTCAAAGCAATACTGTATTTTCCAGTCCAGAAAATGGACCTCGCGATCTCCGTAGCAACAGCACTAGGAGCTATAGCCACACTTGCTGCTGCTGTTATAGCTTTGTTAGTTGTAAAAAGCATAAATTCTTTTAAGGAGCGGGCAAATAGCAATAAGAGTACTGAAAATTTTGATGAAACAGACTATTTCAAGATGGCAACAAGTAGAAAACGGGATAAAGAATCGGTTGAGAAGATACAGGAATCCAAAGAACTGGGTGAGGAGGGACAGGAAACCCATGAAGAACTGAACCAGAAGGAATTGGACAGCCAAACTTCGTAAGTGTACACTATGACTTGGTTCATTGCAGACGGACAGACATCAGATGCTGACCACGTGCCGTGAGTGGGGCTTGGCCGGGTCACTCTAGGCTCCTGTCCTGCGAACTACATGGCCGATGATGGAGAGATGCCCGGGCTTGCCAGGTGTCATAGCGACACACATACACAGACGGTCACTTTCCTGTAAAACCGGTTTTCAGAGGCCAGGGTTAGGGGACCGCATCTTTAGAGATGTGAGAAGGAAGTTAGTGACGGGAAAACTGCCAGTGTGCGGGTTTCTTGACAGTTTGGTTTTGGATACTTCAAGCCCGGGTATGGAGAACAAAACCAACCAAAATCTGTTTAGTAGGCTTCCACTCAAGGCACTGAAGTGAAAAGGTCTCCTGTCCCCCATCGGTGGCGCCCCCTGGCGAGGCGGCACAATGGGCGCCACCTCACAGGGCCTTGCGCGGCGGTGGCCCGGGTGGCGAGCGCGGGGGCGCGGTCACATCCCTTATGCCTGCGGGCCGCACGTGGGCCCCTCCGGGCAGCGAGGCCGGCGGGTGGGTGCTGGGCTGCGGT